ACTATGAAAAAACATTAAGTTGCTATTCACATGCATATAAACTCAGTGGTGATTAAATACAATTACTGTAATGGTAAAATTGCCACTATACAGCAGGACAGGATCTATGTACTGAATCTTTGGAAATCAACTATAATATTTCTAATGACAATTTTTATGAAACCATTCAAAACAATTCTATTTTCTTGTCTAGAGTAATACACGGAGGTACAAAGGTGATGAATTCATTCATTAAGTGACTATAATATAATCAAGTCTAAAATCATTCCCAAGGTCATTTCATACTAGGAAGGGACATTACGGTTCATCTACTATTGCAGACAAACTGGGTTGTGGCAGCAAATTACAAATTTTGCATGTCTTGCATGTTCAAATGAGAGTCCCTAAAAAATTCAGAAAGCAGTATTGCTGTTTACTCTCCATCAGACATCTCACAAATTTCCAGATATGCCTAATATGTGAGAGAGAAAAGAGCCTAATAAATAATATCAATAAAATCATTAAATAGCCATTTACATAAATAGATGTTACCCCCACAATCTCTGGAAACTGCTTCTTAAAAACTCTGATGAGGGTCTCCCCTGGTGGCGCAGCAGTAGAGCGCTGGCTGCCTGTAGCCTCTGCAGTGCTGGTTTGATCCCCGGCTGCCGGCAAGGATCCCACATGGCGTGCAGACCTCTCCTGCCGTGCCCGCTACTCCCCTCAGCAATGTATTTCATCAGTCTGCCTGTTCTGTTCCCCGCTCTGGCTCTGGTGGATTCTCTCACCCTCCCGTGCTTCTGACTGTACCCAGTGCTTGTATAAATAAATAAGTCTTTAAAAAAAAAATAAAACAAAAAACTCTGATGATGAGAACTGGCACAAAAATATGTAAACATAGAAATAACAGAAAAGATGTTCTCATTATTTTGATGAAAAAGCAAAAGTGCTTAAAATTAAATATAATTTAAAGCTTGCCCATTCAGTAACTAAAAATGTATTTATTATGCATTTATTGATTATACAAAGAGAAACTCAGTACAAGTATGTTATTACCTACAAAAGTAAGCTTTAGAAGTATAATTTCAATATCAGTCTATAATGATCAATATATATCCACAATGAGAAGAGATCCAAGCAGACTGAGATAAAAAAGAATGCTCTCCACTTTTCTTCACATTGCTTTTTACATCAGTAGAGAACTTTAGTTTAGACTTTCAGAGACTCACTACTCAAATGAATTTCCTAACTAATCTATCTTGCTCCAACTACAGGAATACTCTCATTTCCTGTTCAAATTTTTTATTGGTTCTGCACAAAACAAACTCTAAACTCCTTGACCTAGCAGTTATTTGGCACCAATCAATGTTTCCCAACTATCACCCTAGTCTCCTACCACAGGGACCTGCACTTCCCAACTTCTCTCCAAGCCAAATCATACCAACAATGTGGTCCTGCATGTCTTTATTATCGTGGTCTTCTCTTTTCTTTTTGCCCATATCCCTGAGTTCTACCCACAAAGCCAATCTTCCCCAGTCATCCAGGCTACATTCCTGTAGCTGATAACACTCATAAAGTCCTTTGTATATGCCATCCCCTATACACTATTTATTCTAGCACATAACTTATATCATTCCAACTGTACTGCAAAACTTAAGGGCATCTCTCATGCCACTTCCTTATATTCCAGTACTGTTGCCCCAACCCCTATCCTCATTTACCATAATGGGCAGCAGAGCATCTTTCTGACTCAGGCATTAAGCATCTACTGAGTCAAAGACACAAATAACAATGACACATGGAAAATCAAAATGTACTATCCCTTAAAAATATAAGGACAATTTGTACCATCTATGACTTTTGAGAAGCAATTTTAAAAATTTTTGTGAGTATTTAGACTCCAAGATTATGTTTTCATCCAGCAAAGAGTTATAAGTTTGTCCTGAACATCATGCTTTTCCAATGTGTCCCCTAGAGGGACCTCAGCTCACCCCATGACAATTAACAGCAAATGCCTATTCCTCTTGACACCAGCAGCTCTTCAAAGCAAAGACAATGTGCTCCCTTTCTGATCTCTATATATTAGTAGTTCATGTAATAGGAACTTAGTCAAAGATTGATCTAATACCATGATTACCTAAAGTAAACACAATTAAAGAATAACCTTTGCTAGACACATAAATGTTAAGTAAACTTAATTCATGACTGAGTAATTTCAAGTGAGACATATGACCAAAATTCTAACAACTACATTTATGTAAGTATTAAGCACAAAAATGAACACACAACTGAACAGGGAAATACCATATAGACAATTGTGTATACATGTGTGCGATTTGTACACATTCTAGAACATTTCTAGAACAAAGCACAATTTTTGAAAGGGAACATGAGACTAGAGAGGGGTTTTCTATTTTCACTCTTTGGCTTTTCTTCTTGTTTAAATAAAATGTATAACTTTGTAATTAACTACTACTGTTGCTGCTGCTACTACTACTACTCTTCCTCATAGAAACACACTTATACATAGGAGTAGTGTAATGGAAGTTAAAACATTTTTTTAACAAGTAGTTAGTCTACCCCTATACTAACGGGAATATTAGATATTAAGCGCTAAGCATGAAAGAAAGCACTGACTTACAGTAAAGTTTTAGAAGCCCAGTTGACAGATTTTGTTTTGGTGGCTCAATTGCTGTACAACAAGGGATAAGTTCCTTTTTAACTTACATTTTCCTAATTTAAATTCTCTCATCTGGGGGCTTCCTGGTGGCACAAGGAGTTAAGCACAGTACTGTGAAGCTATCCGCAGCCTCTGCAGTGTGAGTTGGATCCCTGGCCAGGGAAGGGACCCACATGGCGAAGCAGACCTCTCCTGTTTCGCTTGCTGCTCCCCTGAGCAGTGTATTTCAGTCAGTCTGCCTGTTCTGTTCCCCTCTGTCTCTCGTAAATCCTCTCACCACCACCCCCGCCTCTGATCTGTAACCCAGTTCTAAAATAAATAAATAAATAAATTTTTTTTAAAAATCTTTCATCTGTGTGTCCAACATGTCTACATATTTAAGAATAGAACTGCCCAAAGGAGTAATCATCCTTCCAAATAGAAAGAAGAGACAGGAAATCTCTTTTCCCAAAGTTGAGGATAGTAATACGAACTTCTCATTAGATATCTAATAAAGAGAAGCAACCCCTCCCCTTCAAAGTGACTTTAACTAAAATACACTTAAGAAATAAAACAATCAGTCCACCTAACAGAAGGTATGCACTGAAAAATGTTTAGACATCATATATCTACTCCTCACCCTTTCATCAAAGTGAAGAAATCTGATGTCCTTTGGAAGATTTCAAACCATTTGCTATCTTGGGGGCCATAATCTTCTCATCTTCACATAAGAAGCTGCTAAAATAATCTTCCAAATTATAGCTTCTTAGTGACCATTAATTTGATGAAAAGCAATTCCTCAAACAGCATATATTTGAAATCAACAGGATAAAACAACTCTGATTTAGTAAGGAAATAATTTCTATACTCACTAGATTGCCACTTTTACTTTAAAAATCCACTAAAAACATAAATGATAAAGGCCATCGTGAAATGACTCCCAATCGTGAGGTTTTATATTGGTCAAGAATCATCTCCTGAGCTTTTCTAATAAACTGCAGGAAGTTAGACATGGTACCCTTAAAGAAAAGGATGGAGTGATCATAGATGTTAAGAATGGGAATTCACAGTTCTGTCCTAATCTCTCCAGGTAAGATCAGAAAAATGTTTTCCTTCCAAGAATCTGGATTCATCTTTGTACTTTGCATTGTTTCTAGAATAACTTCCTAGGTGTCATCGGCTCACCACCTCACAAAGATGGTAAGAGAGTTGCTTTTCCTAGCACTCCTGTCATCTGGAAGATCCTCTCTGTTTCATTCCTTCTCATAAATTGCCCATCTGTGTTCAAATATGATGCTGAAGTATATCCTTGATCCTTTCCTTTACCTCTTAATATCCTTTTGCTTCAGATCTTGTCCTAAGATTGAATTTTTCTACCTCAAGCTCTTGTTTTCCATATTTTGCTATGCCAGGTACATCCTTCTGGTTAATCATTGTGGGTTAAGGATTTAGGATCAAGCTCCTTGAAATAACAAAGTTATAGCTATCGTTATGGTTCTGAGACTCAGTTATGCAACAGAAACTCTCATAACATTCATAGTAAAGCAGTAAACTATAAGGTCAGTTCAGAATTTTTTTTATATCCAAAAGGGCAGATTAATTATGAAAAAAGGGGAGAAGGAAAAGGGAAACTTGCATAGACACAAGTGGGCAGAAAGAGCTGCCCCCAAAGGGGCAGGTCTGCTAAGAGAGGTCTGCATGGTTGCCGGCAGACAGCCTTGAGAGCTGCCTCTGCTGAGGGAGGTCAGTGAAGAGAAGCCCCGGCACGGTGTAGTTCACAGCGGGCAGGAAGGCTGCTACCCTGTGAAGGGAGAGAATGGGTGAAAAGCACCTGCATAGTCACAGGTGGGCAGAAGGACTGCTGCCTCATTTCAGATTTTTATTAGCACAGTTATTTTAGAGGAAGAAGGGAAAAGAGAAGAAGTTTCAGAAAGCTTTCCATATTTATACATTTAAAAATTGTTAAAACCAGGCCTCCCCTGGTGGTGCAGTGGTTAAGCGCTGGGCTGCAAGGCTGCCAGCAGCCTCTGCAGCGCCATTTCGATCCCCGGGCCGCCACCAGCTAGGGTCCCACATGGTGTGACAGACCTTTCCTGCTGCCCGCTGCTCCCCTCAGCAGTGTATTCGTCAGTCTGCCTGTTCTGTTCCCTGCTCTGGCTCTGGTGAATTCTCTCACCCTCCCACGCTTCTGATTGTACCCAGTGCTTGTATAAATAAATAAATAAATCTTTTTAATAAAATAAAATAAAAATAAAAATTGTTAAAACCAAATAGCAGTTCCAAACAGTTTTAATCCTCCCTCAATGGCAAGATCAAATCAGGTCATGGAAAAAGTAAGTTGTGAAACAGCCAATGCACCTACCTGAGGATACGGGGAAGTCCTAGATTTTGACTTTGAGCTGGAGAGTCTGGCTTTGGCCCCCTTCCTATTGTCAGTCATGGTAGGAGTGGAGCTGCTGGTGTAGGAGAAGGCTGGTTTGGAGGATGAGATCTGATCCAGGGAGAGCTGCAGTCCTTTGTATTCTGTGTCCCTGCAGGTAGGGAGGACAGGCCCTTCATCAACCATCACCAGAAATGGATTTAACGTGCTCTCTCACCAGGAATGAGAGTAATCAGTATTTCAAAAGGAAGCAAGCAGAAGTTAGCCATGTCATCAGTTCCACAAACACCTCTATTGAGAAAAGCCTAACATTTAACTAATGTGTATGCATGTAGCTGCACATATACCATATTATATAAGTTCATGAAAATGTCTTGATCAAAAGATGCATTTTTCCGTGACACACACACACACACACACACACACATATGGCTCGTTTCCTCTCACATGTGGAATATAAATAACCAAAGCCAACAAACTAATACATTATAACCAAAAAAAAAAATCAATGACTGAGAAATATTTAGTGTTTACCAGAGGTTGGGAAGAAGAGGGGTGGGGGAGGGGAGGGTAGAAGGAGTCAATGTGATAGTGGAAAGAGCACTAGAATTTGGGGGGTAAGTGACATGAGGTCAAGATGCACCCCCAAAATTTATATCATTTGTTAAATGTAATACATTTTTATTAAATAGAAAACAATTTTAAAAGCATTTTAACTACTCTGATATGTAGAAAGTAAATCCATAATTCAACTTCTCTGACTTTTTGTGTCCTTCCTGGTGACATATAGATTATAAGACCTAATGAAAGATTTCCTGGTGGGGTTACACAACAGAAAATTGATCATCTGGTAGTAACTGATTATTGGCAAGAAGAATATTTTCTATCAACTGTTCCAGGATCAATTATTCTGGTAAGCATTCCAAATATTCTTAGAGCTAGCAAACTAGTATAGCCAGGCATATAATTAGGTAAAAATCTCTTTAATCCATTTAGCAAATTCAGTTACCTCAGGGTACATTTTACAAATTTTATCCATTCCTTCCTTCATTCAATGAATATCTGTTAAGCTCCTGCTACATGCTGGACTTTGTACTATATGGAGATGAAAAAGGGTAAATAAGATACCTAGAGTTCCTATTCTCATTTGTCCCACATCTAGCAAGTATAAAAGTCCTCACAGCAGGCATTTTTGGCAACAAATTCCTCTAGCTTCCTTCATTTTTCCTCTTCTCTAGTGGCTTTGCATTTTTAAAAAATTGTGTATGCCTTATTAATACTCTTTGGATTAAGAAAGTATATAAAATATAATTAAGTTATATACGTAAAAGTGACTAGCAAATTTCTCTGGATTATAAAATGTTCATTTAACTTCTTTCTTTTTCTCTCTGTGTTCTTCTACAAAGAGGTCAGACAAAATCAAAAGCATAATTCAGGCAAGTAGCCCTCAGTGACAAGGAATAGAAACCACTAAAACAGTACTATCACAGTCACGAACACAGTGGAATAATATATGCCAGCAAATGACAGTGGCTTCATATCAAATGGTTCATGAACTAAATGCAATTGTGAAAAATGCTCCTACTTGAGCAACAGAAATTTAGGAGGGCATGAAATTTGTCTTTGAGGCTTAGGAAGTCTGAATATGTTGCTGCTGTAATCAACTCTGAAGGACAATACACACCACAGACCTAGCACTCTTTGGTCAGAAATTCAGTGCCCTCCAAAATGTGACTACCACCTATTTTTTGACAATATTTCAACATTTTCTTTCACCAGCCGCTCAATTCCTCCAAAACAGTTCTCTCCAAACTGACTTGATGCTTCCTTGACTTTCTCCCTACTCCAACACATATAAATCAGCTCTTACAAAGAACTGGTCTCCCTGAAACCCTTGCTGACTGTGGAATCTATTCATGTCTTCAATACTTGTTTATTGAGTGGCCCATGTTTAAAGGACAAGAGTTGAGAGATAATTTTCTGTATTCCAATGGTCATTTGCACAATATTTACATAGATGAAAAAGGAAAAAAATAAGGATGCAACTAAGAATGGATTGTTTTCCTCAATGACTACTAATAAAATCAACCCAAAAGCCCTTCTCTGTGGGAAAAGAGTCCCCTGAGCCACCTGCCCTGAGGTTGTCTGTGCGTGACAGGGAGCCAGGAAAGCATGGTTCTCACAGGAGGTGAAGCAACCACGCTTGGATGCTTATCCCGTATCAAATGCACATTGTCCACTAGGCAGCAGAGTACCCAGGCAGTCCTCGCCTCACAGACCTTAGCCTGGCAGCAAAAATCATGCACCCCTAGAAATATGGCCAAATAATTTCTAAAAACTCATTCTTAATGCAACATTTCAGCACAGTAACTTTATGCCTATAAGCAGAGAATAAACAAGAATTCATTTTTCTCTTGTATGTTTTCAGACACTGACAGTATGCATGTCAACTAATTGAGTCCAAAATTTTTGCACAGCTTCCAATGACATAAATACTCAAAATAAATAGGCTTAAATAAAAATTTAAAATCAGTAAATATTTGATTTATCATATGAAAATGCAAATAAATATAGAGATATGCAAATATTTTTGATAGATCAATAAAAATATTAATTAAAAAATCCACCAAATTTTGGGCCTCCCCAGTGGTGCAGCGGTTGAGAGCTGGGCTGTGAAGCTGCCCACAACCTCTGCAGTGCCAGTTTGATCCCCGGCTGCCGGGCGAGAGACCCACATGGCGCGCAGACCTCTCCTGCCACCCGCTGCTCCCCTCAGCAGTGTACTTCATCCATCTGCCTGCTCTGCTCCCCACTCTGGCTCTGGTGAATTCTCTCACCCTCCTGCGCTTCTCACTGTACCCGGTGCTTGTATAAATAAATAAATAAATCTTTAAAAAAAAAAATCCACCAAATTTTAACAGATCAGAAAGCTGAGGGTTTAAGCCTGTTGCTGTATAACAACCAGCCTAAAGTTTCCTCTATAATTCATAAGAATGTGGTGAGGTGTACATGAAATACATGAAAAACTTAAAGCATAGTATCTGGACCATCATAAATACTCAGAAAATAATAAAAATTATTTCTTAATTCCTATGCTCTGTGACAATGTTTGGCCCCTGACTTCCCCTGAACAGTAGTTTCACTTTTGTAGCAGCTGTAATGCATGTCATTACAAACACCAACTTATACTGTTATTCTTTGCTTTCCACTACAAATTCATTTTCATTTGCTCTCTTAATTTTTAGTCTCTAAAATCGATTACAGTAAAGATACTTATTAAGGTAAGTTATTTATTTCTAAGTCAGCAAACCAGAACGTTAGAGCAACCCAGAACCGACATTCTAATGAGTTTTAAATAAAAATTTAAAATCAGTAAATATTTGATTTATCACATGAAAATGCTAATAAATCTAGAAAAAGGTATGCAAATACCTCAAATTAAATAGGAAGTTTGATTTTCCTGCCCCTCTGTTCAAAATTCTAACAACATAAAAAATGTGCCAGGATGGAGAGGACAACTAAAAAAAAAAAAACAAACACTTAGACATTTCAAGCATGGTTGATAAGCTGCCAAGAGTAGCCTTGAGTTGTGCACTCACTAAGAACAAAGTATTTGTTTTACTATTAGAATTTATTAAGTTGAGTTTTCATTTGTATAGATTAAAGGCTAGATGCTGATGGAATCACATTCCCAGTTCCACGTCTCTCGTCCAAATTCAGACAAGAGAATGTGGTCCTATTATCTCTCTCCTCCCCTAAAGGGAGGCATATTTTGGTATCACACAGATTCTCAAAGTTAGATGTGGGTATAATAACACCATTCAGCGCTTCTTCATGGAGCAGGACACAATAAAACAATCAGATGCACAAAAGTTAGGCTTTAAAATGAGTATGGTTAAAAAAAAAAAAAAACTTGACTCACCTGACTTTAATAAAGGAAAGGCACAGCCCTGCTCCACTTCCAAGCTTTCTTGAAAAGTGTCTCATTAGACTCCCTAAGTGACCCTCCAGGCAGCTGAAGCTGTTCTTCCAGTGTATCAAGAGGAACTGCGGCATATGCCATTTAACATATTTTCAAAATGACTGTTGATACCAATTTACATTTAGTTTTTTCATCCCTTTGACTTGTATCTGAGCTGCAGAAATCCCAGGTAGCACAGCTCTGAAGGCAATGTGAAATGGGTAATTTTCAATCACTAATACTTGCAGTTTGCCAATCTCACCCATATTTGCACAGACCAAACTAATCCTCTAATTCCATTATGGACAGTCAGAAATCATTCAATTTGCAGAATTAACCATCTGAGTCTACTCTAAACTTTATTATAATTATATACATATTTGGAATGACTCAAATTCCAATAGAATAAAGGGGGGCCTTTCTTACCTCATTGGCCTTCTCAGCCTTCCCTTAAGCAATACACCCTGCCCACTCATGAGGTAAATGCCAACTTGCTTCATAGGAAGCTCAGTGTGACACCCTTACGCAACAAATACATGATGACCTCACATCTGAAATGTACTGTAAACTTCAGATAAATGCATTAATATCATTTCTATTATTTCAACTGGGAAACAAGCTACCATAATGCCGAAAGTGATGCTAATATTTTGACAACCTTCAGTTGAGCTAGAATGGTATCAGAGAAGAGGTCGAGTATTTTTTCAGTTCCTGCTAAGACTGCAAGAATCTTCCTCCTCAGTTCCGCCACACCCTATTCCACTTCCATTTTGGACAACTGAACTTTTGTTTCTGTCTTTCAGCTTTAGGGATGGTATTCTGGACCTTCTTTGTTGGGCTTTACGTAATGTGGCAATTCTTAAAAGATGTTGCCAGATTTCCCAGTTGAGCTATTTTTTTAGACAGCTGAAGGTGATCAAATTACGGAGGTGAACGTGGAAACAGCGACATACAATTGATTTGGCTCCAAAGGCGCTGACTGAAATAAGCAGAGGATTGCATTAAACCGTGATCGGATTAAGTGGGAATGACTGTGCCTTATTCTAAACTTTTTAATTGGATTCTGGAGTCACTGTTACACGAAGTGCATGACCTCCTTTATATTCTGGCAGAGTTACTGCCCAGCCACTGCATAAAACGCCGCAGCAGAGAGACCTACTTTATGTTTCATTTTCAGACTCCCATGGAGC